CAGCTTCATTATGGCTTCTTTTGGTTTGGTTTGGTTTGTTTTTTTTCTTAAACCAAAAATGAACAACAGGCTGTTAAGCCCCAAATACAATACCCATGCGAGTGAACTTTTAGAATTCCCTTTGTGCATTTAAGCTGTGCAAGAGAAGCATCACAGCTCTCCCTAGTGAGGAGCAGGGGTATGAAGCACAAGGCCAAGATGTTACCCTTATGCCACGGCCACCCCCTGCAGGGCTCAGCCCTGTAAGTGGTTCGGACAAAATTCTGCTGGACACAGCCAGGCCTGTGTGTGACATGAGCCTAGTTTAGAAAATAAATGCCAAATTAATTCTGTAATTCCCTAATAAATTTCTTGTATCCTCACTAGGTATCCCTGAGGTTGTGCTGGGCATGAGTGAAGAGCTGTTTGCTAGCAGAGGGGGATTTTTAAGTTCCACTTGCAGTGTGTGAATACAGTGAGTATGAACTCCCAGGCATGTTTTCTGTCCTGGGTGCCACACCTGGGAGTAGCTCTTTTATCCCTGGGCCACCCCTGCTCCCTGAGGCCCCCAGGGCTGCTGTGCCAGGTGGTAAACACGTGGAGGTGGTTCCTGTCTCCAAGGAGTCAAGGTTGAATGTTGATCACAAGTAGATACGGCCGTGAATTTTGGCTTTTCCACCTGAACTCCCCAGTGTTTTAACTCAATCTGCAGCAGAGGGAAGGTCAGGACACACTGAGGGGCAGCAAGGATCCCAGCTCAGGGCTGCACTCCTCTCCCAGCCACACAGCCCCGGGGGTTGGTGTCCTGAGGGGCTCCTCCTGGGGTCTCCCCAGCCTCCTGTTGAGTTTCTCTGGCTCCCAGCAAGGTGCTGGCCCCTTCCCAACTGCCCGTGTGCTTGCTGGAGTTTTTACATCCACCCAGGGAGCGACTCTTGAGCTGAGGGGGTTTGAAGGGCTCAAGCCCACTGTGCTCATCACCCTGCGGGAAGGGAGCCCTGCCCAAGGGTGGAGCAGCACTGGGGATGTCAGCAAGGAGATGGGGACAGGATGGAAGGAGCTTTGCCCTTCCTCATAGGCTTCCTGGGCCACTGGCCCGTGGCAGAGCCTGCAGCAGGAGGGTGACACCCTCACCACTCTCTGGTTTGGGTAGAAGTGCTAATGAATGCCTGTGGTGGCTGCTGGGGCTGGCAGGGAACTTCTCAGCAACACCACCCATGTGGCTGTGATGTGGGCAACAGGTCCATGCAGGCTGGAGGTTCCCACTGTCCCCCCAGCCTGGAGGGTGGGTGGTTGTCACGGTTTTACTGTGTTGTCACCAGAGAGGGATCCAGTCCCCCAGCCTGGAAGAAGCTGATCCACACACAGGATGATAACTGGCTTTAATGTCCAGCTCTGCACAGAAAAGGGAGCAGGGTGACATTCCACACAGCCAGCTCATCTTCCTGAAAAAAAAACAACCAAGTGCTCCTTTCATCCCCCCAAAAGCGTGAGAAGAACTTTCACACTGTTCTGTCCTGGGGCACTAATTCCTGGCTTCCATTTCAAGTGGCAATGCTCAAAAATGCCACTGCACCTGCTCAGAGAGCAGGGGGGGGGCTGGTTAGGGGTTCCTCTAGCCTGTGGGGTGGGTATTTTACTGTGCTGATGGCTCATGAATATATTAGTGGTGTGTTGATGCCAGGTTACTCTTTTTTTTCCCCCCCCCCCCGTGCTAAAGCCTGTAACCAAGATGCTCCTTCCATCTGCCCTGCTGGTGTCTCCAGGCCTGTCTCAGGGCCAGGCTCTTGCCTACCTGTTTTACTCTAATTGGAATCTGGTTTTGTCTAATTCTTACAGTGGGCACTGGGCAGGGCACTCCAGAACCTGCCAGGGCAGCCCTGGAACTGGGCAGGGCACCCCTGCAACCAGGCAGGGCACAACCTGGCACTGGGCAGGGCTCCAGGGCATTCCAGAACATGTCAGGGCACCCCTGGAACCGGGCAGGGCACAACCCAGCACCAGGCAGGGCTCCATGGGCACTGGGCAGGGCACTCCAGAACCTGGCAGGGCTCTCCTGGAACCAGGCAGGGCACCCCTGGAACTGGGCAGAGCACCCCTGGAACCGGGCAGAGCACCCCTGGAATTGGGCAGGGCACCCCTGGAACCGGGCAGGGC